GGATGGCATTTGGGTGGTAGCCACCCAAAGGTGACTAAAATTATCTAAGGTCTGTCAAGAAGAAGCTACTAGAACTATAAGGGTGAAGTCACCGTTGTTAATTGTAGAGTTACCAATGAGTTGTGGAGCTCATGGACTCTCACTGACACTTTCCCCCTATTAACAGGCCGAGGAAAAATTTGAAGCAAAAGAATCTTTTTTGAAATTAGTGTCAACCAATGCAAGTAAATCGACAGAATTATGGAAATCCATAGTAAAGGGGCTACCCTGAGGTCTCTTTAGAGAAAATGCCGGACTTATTGAAGTCCCTTTGATAAAATTAACTTGGAAGAATTAAAATCTAAATTAGACCTAGTGGAAGGAAATAGTCTGATTTGGGAAGAGGATAGGTGGGCTATAATAGTTTGGCCAACTGTTGTAGGATTATTATTGGTCGTATTACTGATAGTAGTAATCTGGTGGTGGCTGAAAAGGCGAGTGAAGTCACGCAGACAAGGTGAACTGGCTGGTAAGTACCTGAGCGAAAGAGGGTTTCATAAAAGCATATCCAATGTGAATGTGATTGAACCTACCGTGGAATTACCAGGAGAGTCAACCACTGGTAGGGAGAACCCCGAATCAACTACAGAAATCACCAAGCCCTCTATTAAAGCTAGGATGGGCAAAAAGTATAAGTAGTAAAACAGTAACAATGACTGACTATATAATGTGGAGTGTTGAAAACTTCAGAAAATAAAAAATAAAAAAATAATTGTGATTACTTTTTTTTAACTGAATGTGAAATGAAAAAAAAGTATTATTGTGATTATTATTTTGTTTTTATATAATTTAATATGAAATTGAAAAAAGTTATTGTAAGATGTAATTATTATTTTTTCTATTAGACTTGGTTTGAATCGAAAAAGGAACTGTAAACATTATAACCCATTAAAAGGGATTTTTTTAATTAAATATTGGTGTGCAGAACTTAATCAAGAAAAGGAGCTGATACTGTAATGTTTGAATTGATTTAATTGGACTGTACATTTCTTTTGAAATAATACCTGCATGCAGAAGGTATAATAGACAAATTGCATGAGTAGAATTAACTTTTGAAGTATTAGTATCTAATACTTGTATTAGACAAAAGAGTTAACGGACAAATGTGAAGGAAGGGGGGGCATATCACCCCGAAATAATAATAATGATAATAAAGGAGAATATGCTAGAAGACAGGAAAAAAGGCGTTTTCAAAAGAACCATGATGTTGAAAATGCTGTTAAGACTTTGAAATGTAAATGTTACCTATTTTATTTAGAAAGTGAAATACAATCTTTTTTTTTTCTCTTTAAGTGTAAAAAAGATATCAGATTATTAATAGAAAATAGAATTCAGAATGTCTAGATCTAAAGGTTAATTTTATCGATGACAAGACAGCATGAATCTATGTAAAGTTTATCAAAATTGCTCAGAGCTATTAATAGATAAACTTAGAACTTAGGGTCTATACCGTTCCTTAATAAAAGTACTGACATGTATGTTCACACTAAAAAAAAAACGTCAACAGTTTGTATATAAAGAGGCAAGCCAACCAGAAGAGAGAGTTGGGTTAGAGCAGAGTTGAGTTGGAGGCTCGAGGAAGTGACGTCAGAGATTGAAACAAAGTACCCGCTAACATGTGCTGTTGATATAAGTACCGCTGCTCATTCTACCACTAATATTACTACTACTGCAGATGAGAACATCGACGGTGTTAGTAGTTGCACTAAGAAGCGACCAAAAAGGGTTAAAATGAAGTCACCGCTCTCCTTTAACAAAATTACACAAATTATTTTGTTTTGATGATCAAAAGTTGAATGTCTCTTGTATATGAACATACCAGAGACATTCAACTTTTTGCCACAAGAATTGTATTATTATATATACTGTTGATGCTATATACATATAAAAAACTTTTGTCCCTCTAAAATCAGATCAACTTGGCCATACTTATTTGTTGTTAACCCTATTTTCACCCAACAAGCTTGCAGATAGACCAATGGAGAGCTTTCGGAATTCTACGATCCGATAACTACTCACCAGGATCAAAAATCACAATGTGACTGGTGAGTGGAATTGAATCAACATTTGAAACTGGAGACTTAGGTCTAACCTGTAATACTGGACCATACAGGACCAATGGCTGGTCTTGTAGATGATGTCGGCCCAGTGGGGTTAGGATACAGTGTCTCATGGATGCCTTGACCAGAGATCGCATTACAAAATAATTTAAAAAAACATTGCATTTCTTTACATTATTAAAAGAAAGATGAATTGTGTTTCTGCTAACATGGCATTTAATGTATGACTCTTCACTTGTTAGAATTGAAATGGATATTAAAAAACTGATAAATTATGAATTAAAAGTACAATGTGATTTTTGTTTTCCTTTTTAAATAAAACAGAGAGTATATAAACAAAAATAAGTTATCTTTCTTTTAATATTGTAAAAAGTTTTCCCAATTTTTAAAAAAAAGGAGTAACATCTTGGTTTTTTTTGAGTTTTTTTTTTACATATCCCCAGTTTTATTTTTTAAAAATAAATAAGCACAATTGTACTTTTATTTCATAATTTATCAGTGAGGAGTTATAAATTAACAGAAACCTGGAAAAAAAACTGGCAGCATACATTCTGAGAAATGGATAAAAATATTAAAAATTGATGAATTTACAAATAATTTTGTCATTGACTGTATGTGTGTGTGCATATAAAAACTTTAAGGGATTAAGCGCATTGTAATATTGTATCCCTTCTGGAGAGGAGCAGCAAACTTGAGGGCCACCCTGGACATCAAAAACACTAGCTACACCACTGGTACAGTCTTGTCTACTTCTCAGCCCAATTTAACAATCAATCCCCAAAACTCACTATATATGAATTTCCTCTGGGACCATATAAGGTCATGATACATCCATACTGGTTTACTCAAAGGGGTAGAAAACAATATCAGTTTCTACCAATGGAGCAGTTCTTTCCACTTCTTGCTTGACATGTGATACAGCTGCCTACTATAAGCCGTTACATTTCTATACAAACTGGGCCAATAATACTTTCAGTTGATCATCTTGTCAATTTCTACATGTCCCATCTTTTCATGACATTGTTCCAACAAGGACCTGTAGTCCTTTAGGCACATACAATCTTAATCTGGAGTCTTCCTCTTCATAGGACACATAATATACTAGATTGTTCAAAATCTGAAATTTTTCTGTCTTCTTTTGGGTTACTGTTCTTGCTTCTATCAATTCCTCTATGGAAATCATCATCCCTTTTGTACTCCTTTGTCACACATTTTTTTTTTAAATTGTAGGCTTATCCCTTTCTTCTTCATCTGAGCCACTCCAAATTGGCGTATCCTTCATCTTACATGAATTTATAACATTAATCTGATAAAGTTTATCATCTACTTCAGGTTCTATCATCAATGCTTCTTGTTCCAATTTTCTTGGAATTCACAATTGGTCTGCACAGGTGTTTTCTTTACCTGATAATATTCTATATAACAATTATAACCTCTCAGTTTCAGTGCCCACTGCTGAATCTTATTTGTCTATTCAGCTTTGAATAGATACTGTAGTGGTTTGTAATCTGTCTTCATCACAAATTCTGATCCATCCAAATACCAATGCAATTTCTGGAGTATGTAGGCCTCTTTTTCAATTACAGACCATTTCTCCTCAATGGAAGATAGAAGGTGTGAAGGAAGAGGTCCCAATTTTTTTTCTATCACACAAACCATGGAATCTTCCTTTTATGGACAGGGCTGTGTCAAACAACCCCCATGCACATGTTGCTTGCAGCAGTATATAACATCATTGGTTTTCTAAAGTCTAGTAGAAATGCTAGTAAGACAACTGAAACCCTGAACAAATTTGAAAAGTCATTAATGTTGAAATTTCTCATAGATAGTCTTCTTTCTCTGATAAGAAAAAAAATTACTGATCCAAGAGTGGATTCTTAATACTATGCTGCTAAATCCATAAGGTGATTCTCATTAAAAGTTGAAGAAATATTTTTTGTATGGAGCCATGTGTTGAGATAATACAGGCAAAGATGGAAAATTTTATATACATCGTCAAACTGGGACGGACTGCTCAGTGTGGGTCGCTTATATAAACTGGAGAAGCATTTGGCTTCAGCAGTTGCTGGGAGATCTCAAGAAGGAGTGCTAAGAAAATCTACTTCACTCAAAGACAAGAGAACACACACATTCTGTGGATGGAACAATCACACAGAAATGCTGCAAGGTGTGAAGGCAGCTGCTACTACAATTGTCAAAGCAACCAGGTGGCCCCATTTGGGAAGGGTGGGGGTCTTGCACCCCCACCCACACACACACTTGCAGGTGCAGTTGGTGTATTCTACAGCCATGGATAAAATAAAGCAGATTTAAAGTAAATTCTCTAGTTGTGATAAGGAGTGGAATTCAATCCTCCAGCAAGATATTGATAAATATAGCAAAAAGTGGGGTTTTATGGGATTGCAATCCTGCCCCATAATAACCTACTATTAAGATTCCAGGACCAACCCTTGGATTGTTCAACTGAGAACAAATTTTACACCAAACCAAAGCAAAAGCAGGTATTATTCTACACAGATTTTATCAAAAAAAAAATTGAATAAATTATAAAACAGTTGCAGATATTTTAAAGGATCTTTATTAAGATTTTTTATATTTTTATTAAAAATAAAAAAAAATATAATTTATAATTACTGTCATCAAAACTAGACCAAAGTAATTGTCAGTTTTGTAGAATTCATTTTAAATATTTTTACATCAAGGTTATATAGAATAATTTTTTCTCTATATATAAATTGATCAAGTTCACTTAATATCACAAACAATAAATTTTATATCAAAGGAAAATTGAATGTAGATTCAATTATGCTATAAAATCCTTGTTAATGGCAACATCAGAGATTAGAAAAACTTTTTTTTTCAAAAAAAAAAATAAATAAAAAAATAAAGCCATATTTTTCTTTATTTGTCTTTATTAAAGACTACAATAAATGTTTTGATTTCCATTGGATAAAGAGTAACATTTATGGAATGGTGAGACTTGATATGGACATCTGTAAAAATCAAAAAGACAGAATTACTAAAGTTATGTTTTATTTAACTTTCAAGTTTAAAATAAAGTTAATATCAAATAGCTACTGTCAGTAGAAACTAAATGGTTGATTTTCATATATATTTTCAATTGAAACACTAATTTTCTGCAATCCTTTCTAATAATTTTCATTACTTTAAATGAAAAATGTTCTTTGTCTTGCATCTCATTAATTCAATAAATGAGGGATAAAAATTATAGGGCAGAAACAAACAAAAAAATGTGATATTTCTATTGATAAAGTCTTAAAAATGTCCAAATTGTGTTTAATATGAACAAAAAAGCAATTAAACTATTTTAAGAATCCTTCATCTACATAGTTTTCCCATATGGGAGCATTAGGTTTAGGGGATTCTATAATCATCTCTAATGAAAGTTCTGTTTCAAATTATTGGTTATAAACAAACATAAAAAAGAGTACACCTGCATAACATTACATTTTCTTTTTTTGTAAAATTCATGTAGAGATTTGTTTGTGAATTCAGCAGACGGAATTTTTAAAAAGATCTTTCAAGTAAACCTGAATAATAAGAAACAATCAATCAAAGAATCAAAAAGGAAAAGTTGAAAAGATGGACTGACCTGGAAATTTATTGTTTGCATGCCATTTGAGTCTGTGAAGGTCAGAGAGTTTTAGATTGGCACCAAGAACCATTTCTTCAACTGATGTAATATTGTATGAAATGAAAAAATCCTGTAAAAGTAGAGCAAAATTCATCAGGAAAGTTTAACCACAGATGATGATCTCTTATCAATAGCCCCCTCAAATAGTTGAGAAGAATGTAAGAATATGTAAATTATAAAATACCACCAAAACTGTGAGGGATCCATTTTAAGTTTATGGAAAATTATTTTTTTGTATATACTGACCAATGAGAGATGTGCATTCAAGCCCTAGTAAGAACCTGAATTCTGTGAGCCTATTTTTACAAATTATTAGGACTCACATCAATGGAAGAGGCGAAAACTTTTTGACAGCAAGGGCACATGGCAAATTAACGTCAAGGAGCAGAAGGCATTTGACATCAAGAAGGTACAAGCCAGCTGCAGAAAAACTAAAGAATTTTGAAATTCAAGTCAAAATTCTCCTGCAGTTGGACAAAAAATTAAAAGAATTCAAATAAATTTTTCCAAACATGAACAATGTGAATTTAACAATAAATTTTCTAAAATTACTATATATCCCAAAGATGCTTGTGGGGCAAATAATAGTAGATACTTTCATTTCTTTTGAAAGGTGGTTGTACCTTTGATTTTCTGCCTTTTTAAATTGCTTTCTCTTTCTGTCATTTTCAAAATCATTCTAAACTAAAAATTGTAATTTTTTTTCCATGGTAATCCTTTATTTTGAAACATCAGAAAATTTCCTTTTGTGTGCCTATTAAGACAGGATAACAATCCTGTCTTAATAGGCACACAAAAGGAAATTTTTGTGTAAATTTTGTATTTGTAACATTTTTGTCTTTCCTTGTGCAATAAATGTTTTTCTTTAAAATTTTATATAGTGGTTGAGTCTTGTTTAGTGGTTTGCACCCATTTTGACCTCAACAAGTGAAGCACATGTTCTCTTTCCCCTTTCTATTTCAACTATTTCTATATCAACTAGATTTTTGTGTTTGGATCAAGAATTTAGATTTTGTAGGGAGTTAAATTATATACACACTCACAGAGTAATCCCTTGATTAGTGTGGCTAATGTGTACATTAAAAGATATGTACTAATCGAAAACATAATAACTTATAGGAAATGATGTAATTTGTACCTCAAATTTTAATCTCATTCTAATTTATGTGCTTTTTTAATTAAAATATTAGTGCATATAAGCAGATACAATAAAAATGCTATGAATATTTATTTATCTGATTTTTTATGAAAAACTTATTTAGAGTGGTTTGTTACATGGTATTCTTCTGTTTTTCATAGCTTAGAAATTAAATTTTTATTGATATTATTCCAAATATCTACAATTTCATCAATATTTTTAAAGACTTTGCCTTCCATTTTTCTTTTCATTAAATTCCATATATTTTGAATAGGGTTTAAATTGGGTGACTGGTGCCCAGTGTAATAGTTTTAATTTAATATTTTTAAAAAGAACCCTGTGTTATGCATATTTTCTATTTTTTGAAATTTTCCAAACATGTCATGTATTTTAACCTGAAAATTTTATTTATAATCTTTCCATAGTAAATGCATACATCTTTTATATTTCGATATCTATATATATAAAACTGACTATGCGTGTGTGCATGTGTGTGTTTGCAAACTACTCGAGAACCATAAGGCATATTTCCACCAAATTTGGAACATAGATTGTACTCGATATTGGGTGTGTCTGGACAAAAAAAATTAGTCATTTTTCAAAAATCAATAACCGATAATCGATTTGATATTTAAAATTTTCAACCTTGTCATTTCTAACAACACTTCTCCACAAAAACCTACTTTGCAAAAGAGCAATGTTGTATTGCAATTCTTTTGTCCTTTAAGAGACTGTATACTGGCTATGTCTTGTATATTACCATTCCATGAAAATGATCAATGAGGTTGAAAGCATTCAGAACATAATACATAATTTTGGCATGTTCTTTTACAAACATCCATTTGACATTAAATGACATTCAACAGGAGAAACTCACCAAAAGAAAGCTCCTCAGACAATTCCTGTTCATTCTATTTAATAGAACATGTTTATATGAAAAGTTGCTACTTGAGATATATATATATATTATATATATATATATATATATATATATATATATATATATATATATATATATATATATATATATATAATTTTCTGTTTGTATGTTATTTTTATAGATACAAATATTTAAGTAAATGCTCTGTTTATAATAAACAGTATTAATTCATAAAATACATCTATTGGATGCTTTGGCACACATCATCAGAGCCGAGGTTCATTGGGGATGTTTCAGGTCTTTCAACATCATACCCCCTCTCTGTGGTGACCCAGCCACTACTGATTGAGTATTGACAAAAACAGTAATCATAAAAAAAAAAATCAACAATAAGAAAATAAAAATATCAACCACAACTTCCTTTCATCTTCTTACTGACTACCAATCATTTGATCTTTTCAACCATGGACATCTAGAGACTTCTTCTGATGCCATTGTTAGCCTTGTTTTTTTCCAAACCTGTTACACCTAATTTTGACAACATTTTACATAGTGACCACCCAGCAAAGCCTCTGCAACCAATTTCAATTGGTACACAATGAGTTCACCAACAATACCTTTTACATTCCTCTATAATCTGTAAATATTTCCCAAATTTCCTTTAATGGGATTCATCCATGTTTTCTTCCCAAGGGACTGTTAATTCTAACATGATGACTTGCTTGGTCTTTTCATAATAAATAATCATGTCTAGCTGAGGAGAGATGTTTTCTTCTGCAATGCCTTTACCTTTGCCATGACAAAATTCATCATCTTATTCAGTTCATATGTTTTTTTTTGGAGACTCCTTGAGACTATTGTTGCACTGGCTCCTAAAACTTTATCATGGCACCACCAGTAATGCCCTTTGGAGCAACTGCTCAATATGTGTTGGAGAGATCCTTTCTTCTGGCACAACAGAAAGTAGAGACTCACTCTTTCCCTACGTGTGGGGGCTTGCCGAGCTGGGTAATGTATCATACACTGCCTGCACAAGGAAGTTGGTATTACTGGTATTAGTATACGAGAGATCTTTTCAGGAAATATTCCTTTTTTTCTAAGTTTCTTCATTTTGTCCAGATCCTCTGTTGACCTAAGGCTTCCATTTTACTGGCTCTAATTTTGTTGTAACCTAGGGAATGTTACTGAATAGAAAAATCAAACAAAGGTTGGTAATCTTAGAACAAGAACAATACATATAAAATTTGCCAGCAGCACATAGAAGTAATAGTCAACTGCTAGAAGTGAGTCAAGTGAATACCACAATGAATCTCTAACTGCAGACCAACATAAAGTATTTACTACTGTATTTACGTGAATGGGAACATACCATGGCGTTCTATACTCCAGGCCAAGTCATGGTACAACTGAGAGCCAGAACTGGAGGCCTATTGAAAAATGTAGGATTTTCAAAAAATTTTAGAAGAAAATGAAGTCAACCACTTTATGAAATACTTAGAATAACATTTTTATTCACACCTGAGGATAATAGGATGTGTTGAAAGATACATAAATGAAAATATGTATTTTTGCTATGAACACTGATAATTATTAAACAACACAAAGGGGTAATTATGATTTCTGGTAAAAGATATATTGAATCAGAAATTTATATTATTTACAGGTGTCACTGAATCCTTTATTCAATCTATTCCTGTGAGTGAATAAAGACTTTGGTTTTTAAATTTACATTACAGTTACTGGGTTTGACAAACAGAACCCAAGAAGGCTGGAAGACATCAGCCGAAGTGTGTATATAACAATCAATCATCACAGAAATATAGACAAATAAAACAAAATCACTCTAGGAAAGTTTCAAAACTTTTAGAGCTGGTTCTTTTTCTGATCTAGGTGTGCCATGTTTGCAAAAAAATCTTTCAAAACTATATTTGCAAAAATAGAAGCATGCTTTTTCTCCATGTTGAAAAAATGAAACTCGGAAATAAGCATAAAAATGTTACTTAATGATTTATAGCAAACCTTTTTCTTTATTTTATGGAAAAGGATGAAACAAAAAATAACCATTGACAAGTGTGGTCAAAAGGAACTTTTAGTTTTCCACAGTCAATTAAATTGGTATATTTTCTATACTTTTCATAATAAAAATGGGTTTCACATTCACTGGGTTGATTATCATTTCTTGTAATATATCCAGCTATATACACAAGAGCCATTTTTATTTCATTGGAAAGAGATAGTTCTAAATTTTCCAGCTTGTCAAATATTTCTGAACCTTCCTCACAAAGTTTATAATCACAAGATGTACATTGGTGACCTGGATTAACATCAAATTCATCAATATTTACATTTTGATTTAAAAGTAAAGATGTCTGCTTAATATACAGCTTTTCAATACATTGTTGAACATTTATAAAATAGGTGTCACCTGATCCTTGGAGAAGTTTACCAAATTCTTTTTCTAATGGATCAGTTGAAAATTGTAGCTAAAAGGTGTCGACATAGACTTAACAATTCCATTGCAAATATGATGTATGGCAGTAGCAGTGTTTTGGGATAATTGTTTTTTACAATTACCTTGACTGCCAGCCATATTAAGAGCCATTTTACCAAATTCAATGATAAAATCAAGTCTGGTGTCATTTGGAGATTTGATTTCAGCTTGTAGAGGATCATTATGTAATTTATCAATTTGAAGGCATTTAACATTTAAAATTTTCCACCATGTCAAAACCTTGTTTATGAAGAGGGCAGTATCATTCTTACCTGCACTTATTTCAGACTGAGTGAGAAGTGCATTATATGTTTTTTCAGAAAACACTCTGAGGCAAGTAGAAACCCGTTGTCTTTCTATTGGCTTTGAAGCAATGGAAATTTCATTTAAATCTGAAAGTTTGACTAGTCTTTCAGATTCAAAAAGATATAACTGTTTAAGATGTGTCCATTTTGCAACTCGACTTACTCCATCATCATCAAAGATTAGTTCTCCTGTTTTTTCTGTTAGCCACAAATTGCGAATATTTTTCAACATATGAACATAATCAAAAAGCAAATG